TTCTCAAAGGGATTTACGTAGATGCATAAACAAATCATTAGGCACGACTAGACATATGACCTTTCCATGGGAGATGTACACACTACGTTTCCAATCCATACCTCGTGTCATTCTATTGAGTATTAACCTTTTATCAATAGCCAGCTCATAAGTCCTGCTCATGMCACTTAAAAGAAATCCGTCACTCGCAASTCGCAAGGATATTAACTTGGAAAGGTTAAACAAGCCAAGGAAAATGTTTGAGCATGCGTGCATTGCAACAGTTCAGTTCCAAGAATTCAAGGTCCTGTCACAAAGGGAACTCTATTTTCTTGTTGAAGAAGGCCTGCGAACATCATGTACAAGGAAAGAMAGGGTTGTATTTTTATCCTTGATCATCACACTATAGACAACTCTTATAACTTTATCAAATCCTTCTCGGTTCTCGTGCCCTTACCACAGGCATCCCAAGCATTACGATTCAGTTGACGTTACTTGACGTGTTTTAAAACAGCCGGAAGGGTTCGTCGGAGGAAAAAGCCACTTGACTGAGACAGAGTTGTCAGCGAAATGAAAACAATTTTGGGGTTTTACAACATGTATTCATTCCATGAATCAATAGTACTGACATGAATYTGCACACATCAAATTAGTCTAATCTATGATAGCAAAAAGAACATTCGCATTCGCACTATTGATATGAATAAAAAACGCGGGAATTATTAGTTCAAGATGTAGCCGAGAGCTCAGGAAAGTCAAAACTTTTTCTTTTAGTTTTTCTTCTTTTTCTTCTTCCATCTCTCTCTCTCTTTGATAAAATTTTTCCAATAAAAATAAAACAATCAAATTCTTAGAAATTCACACAAAAACACAAACCCTTTATATATAGTGTAAACTCTCTAGTTATAATATTGTCATAATATTTTAAGAAAAGTTTTAAGAATGCAGTTTTTTAATGTGTGAATGACTAGATAACACAGATGAATTTCAAGAGAACAAAGGTCAATATCTCGTTGAAGTGATGATTTCGTCACTTCATCTGTCATACGTGCGAGGCGTTCCATGGTAACTTTTGTTTCTATAGCCTAGAAGGACAATCTTCACACGTATAACCCTTTAGTATCGACATGATAAGAGTAACTGCTTTTGCTATTTTGATTTTGCT